GTGCGGAGAGGCTTACTGCGGGCTGAGAGTCAGGCTGCAATGGCTCCTTCCTACTGTGCCTTTATGGCGCTCCCGCATACGCCGAAAGCTTACCTAGCAAGATAGTGTTGTTATGGCGCGTGTTGGGGTGTGTTTACGCATACCATCTGCGCCCTTTGCTATCTCCGGTCTTCTCGACCATTGTCTTGTCCACTTTCACTAGAATACAGCTATATTCCCCGCGTCTGCCATTAGCTGGCTGAGGTTCGTGGTGGACGTCATCGAGAGCAAAGGCCGAACTGTCAGGTCATCTCCGTAGTCACCATTATTTCCCAGGACACCACAATAGAAGAAATGCCAGCAATACTGAGATAATAATGCTAATCTGTTCATTTTATGAATGCTTTTGGCAATCACGTAGTAGCATGATCAGACATCTGCATAGCTGTCGTGAAGGACTGGTAGCAGGAACCCAGTCGTCAATCGCCCCAAGCTCATAAAACTATTTAGTCTGATCACGATGGTTCTGTGTGAGGTTTTAACTGCTAAGATGCATACATAGGACAGCGCTAGAACTGGACCTACGTCACGTCAGGCAGTGCGCCCTATCTCCTTATCTGTCGACCAAACGACTACGGTGAGAGATAGAGAGCCCAAGTGCGACCGATACCGGTTTACGCTTCCTTAGGAGACATCTAACGTGAACTGGTGATGGGCTCCGTCGCATACAAAAGTCCAACTATGAAAGCGATCCGAAAGTCGGTTTACAGAAACAGTTTCAAAAGCTGACCTGCAAAGGCACTGACGGACCGTCCAGGGCCACTGCCTGAGTGAGATTGACTGCATCGATAATCAACCCCTCGTTCCTGAGTTCATGCAGTTGTTCCAGATCCAAGTCTGGTATCTTTCTGGAATCCGAGAGGATCAGAATCAGACGTAGGGTTGTGAACTCGTAGGCATTTGCCATCACGGTGGAGATAGGGTAGAGGAGGTCCGCGAAGTCTAGATTTGCCAGGTTTGGGGAGTTCTCGGGATACTCACAAAGGTCGGAAACATAGTCAAATATGTCATCAGCGCATGTCGGATGCCAGATATTGTCTTTGAATATGTTATGCTGCAGACAAAAAAATAGTTGTTTTGAATTACGTTTACGAAAAAAATGAAAAATCAGAGAAGTCAAATACAAAAATGCTGCATGAGGTACACATTTTTCAGGAATAGATGCAAATATGCGTGCCCCAGGTTCTTGTTGTAAAAAAGCGAGAGACACGATCTCTGGAACAGCAATTTTATTCTTCTGAGCTTTCGGCTGCACACGGGAAGCCATCGTCAGAGAAAATGAGAAAGCAGCAAACGTTGGCTACGCGTAAA